CAGTTCTTGTTTGTAATGTGTTTAATAGTGACCTTGTTTTATCCTTAGGTGTAAATGGCCTACATGTTGAAACAGAACGAAGCCAATCTCTTGATTCTTTGACTATTTGAGCAGATGTTGATGCACCCTCAGGTAACTCATAAAATGCTCTAGCTGGGTTAGAATTTGTGGTAACTGTTCGGTTTAACAGGTCTGAATTAGATGTACCCTTCTTCAAACTAGGAGTCGCCATCTACAGTTAGAAAAAAACATAGTTATATGTGAGTATTATTTCTAAGTGAATTAAGCATAGCCTTTCATCGATGGCTGGTAGTAGAATAAAAGAAATTTTAGTAGGGTATTGGTTGGAGTTGACTTAATTAAAATGCCTTAATATTTTGAATTTTAACCAATGTGATATCATAACTTATTAATGATAAAGATAATAAACATAAGGAAGGAATAGGGTTAGTTTTAAAAATGTGGACGGTTTGATTCGAGCACAGAAGTCTGATGTGTTACCAATAACTGTGTAGTATGAAAACTTTTAATCTAATTTCATACAAGATTGCTTAATTATACACTCTTGGAGAGCCACACATTGAGATAACTAATTTAGTTGGCTGTTATCTTCGATGGTTCTCTACATGACGAAAAACAAAACGGCTTTTACGAACTACCTTATCGTACGAAATATCAAGTTCCCTGGTAAAATGTATATTGCAAAATGTTACTTTGCTAGCCAATAAGTATAAAGACTCCAAATGGGTGGTAATGTTTAAAAAATATTGTTAGAAATTGGAGAACAAACACATCAATTTCTTCTCTACTAAGTGTTCGTAAGCTAATTTATATTAGTCCCCCAGACTTTTGCAAACGAGATAAGACGAATTTACTTTATTTCGTAATACTTGCTTTTCCCGCTCTACTGTAGTTTGTAAGGTTATATTCTATGTAACTTGCACAATATAATTGGAATAAACTTTTAAGAACATGGCGTAGATAAGTCCTTTTAATTTCAGTGATTTCTTATTAGCCGGTGCTTAAAAGACCTAAAGTAACCCTAGCCAAATCGTAAATATAACAATATCAACGGGTAGTAGCTGTGAAAATCGATGAGAATAAACTAGAGCCAGGTACAAGTTGATCAAGATTCTTTATGAACTCCTTACTTGCTGTTGATAGCGTCTTTAAACACAAGCTCTGGTTTACCTCACTGAATCTACAAAAACGACACGTTTATGTTGGTGCAGATTATCAACGGCTAGCCTATTCCAAGCATGACATCACTTTTATCTAATTTAGAGGTTAAAGTATTTCGAAGTTCAGAAGATCCACCATGAAGCCGGTGATAGTTCCAGCCCAGCGGCACGCAACTCAACTTTGAAACAAACACACATACAGAAAGAGAAGAAAAATAGTCTACAACCTACACTCCCGTGATGATAAATGACGTTTTTTCAAATCACGTTCATAATACCGTAAATGAATAAAATGCTGAGTGATAGTGAAATTGATGAGAGTAGCTATAGAAGCAACCCCGTCACCCAAGAATGCATCGCAGTCGGTATCAGTGAATATGTTATAAACTCACTTCATAGTTGTTTAAATCTATCGATCGTTGTACAGTTGAAGTGGAGCATAGGAAACCTAGGTTTACTCAATAACTGCTTTATCTACAGGTGGAAGGGAAATAAACGACCATGAGAGTAACCTCCAACCATACAAACAACGGGAATCTGAAACCAACCTTAGAGCTTCTTAATAAAAACTTTGATAAATCCATATTAAAACCGATCCCTTGGGTTCGTAACACTTCTGAGTAAACTGATTATTGTAAACACAAATAGGGATAAAAGGGTGGTCCAGGATTTCTTGACTTCATTGATTCTTCAAATGATGTTGCTTAAGATTAGAGTTATTTTTAAACCGTACTCAATTGTAACGAAACCACTTTAGTAGAAAATTATGACCACAAAAATAAGAATAGATTATAGTTAGAATCTGCAATTGTATATTTAGCGTTTTAAAACCAACAAATCGGATTGAAGTTGAATGTGAAATTAAAAGGTAACACAATCCTATCAAACGGACAAATCACGATTAAAAATGAGTAGGTTGTGAATTTGTGTGAAAATTTACCGAAATAAATATAGTAAGTGGTTACAAACTTGCTAACAACAATGAATTCAATCCTGTCATTAAAAATATTAAACAAGATGTCGCTTCATATCAGTACAGAGAGAAAAACAAATAAGGAAGAGAGAAGAGAAACTGAACTACGTGTATCAATAATATTGAACAACAAAGTTAGATAATTAAGGTCTAAGAGAATAAATGAAGTAGATCACTAGAAAGTAGGCAGTGGTACCAAACTGAAGTTACAGGCGAAAGTATAGAAGGAATGTTACTGTTTCTCAACTTTATTTTCACTTTTCAAGGAATCACACAAAGACCTTGAAAGTAGAAATCTCCAGTGTGATGATATCTCATGTTGCACTATAAGCAAAAGAATATTTAAATATTCTTTAAAGATTAAGACAGTTAATCGACAGTCTAAACACTTACAATACTGCATAATTTGAATGTTTAAAATTGGTCAAAAACCGTCCTGACCTTAGATCACTCTTATTGCCACTACTAATCTATTTGAAAATAGCTGTTTTTTTCCAACATGCTATCCACCTGAAGAGGACTCAACCTTTCATACATTTTTGAGAGCTTTTTCCAAGCCCTACAGAAGCACTAGCAGCTAAGTCGAAATATCTGTTGAGCAACCATGTAAACCAAACTACTGAGTAGTACATTCGTTCTCTAACTGAAAGAACTATTTTTAACATGTAACTTAAAACTTCAATGTTTTAATTGAGTTTCAGGAACTGCGATGAATAGAACCAACAACAATGAAATTTCCAAATGCAAAATATGAACTAAGCAGTAAATAATATTTAAGAACCTTCAGTAATTTAAGTGTATAAACTTTAATAACAACGTCAAGGTAAAAAGTATATTTGTTTATGTATTATTTATGGATTTTGCAAAAGAATTAAACAGTCTTTAGAATGATATAAACTATTATCTATGGCCCACAAATTCCTTAAGAAATACCAAGTTCTACAAGAAATTCTACCTTAAACGAGCAGTAAATTTGCTCTAGTTGCTTTGGTGTGTCACTTCTTGTTTATTTTTGCTTTTGTCTCATGCAGCTAATCTTCCATGAAACTCAGTAGTACGGATAAAATTAGATTACTTAAAGTTTTAGGCTATAGAGAAGACAATTGAGAGTGACGATAACCTGAATATCAGAAAATTTCGAGCTTTTATTAAACACAGCAATAACCCTTGAGGTTTTGTATTATCCGAAAGACTGACTGAAGGAAAGTATAGTCTAAAGTTCCCTACATTTCTTCAAATATTTACGATTCCAGAATAATTTTATCAAGTGATCACACGGAAGGTGACTTTAAAACGCTCATATCTTTTCTCCTGCCTCTAATCGTAAAAAATGAGGTAACTTAAGATTGATTTAGGCCTCGGTTTATGATCTGTTATCACTCCTCTAAGATCAATCATCACCAAGGGGACCGTAAAAGGGTTCAAACACTGCGACTAGATTAACTTAGGGTGGGGCTATGGTTTTCACTGGTCAACGAATGGAATCTCTTAACCTGAACGAGTTTTATCAATCTCGTTGGTGAACACTGTCATGGGAAAAATAAATCTCTACTGTAAGACACTGCAGGGATTAACACATTTTAACGGACTTACTATACTTATTATAAAAGTATGGTTGGCTTATAACATTTCGACTAGTTTAAACTATCTTACCAGGAATAAAACGACCAGGGACATTTTTGTATACACTTCAGGGAACAGGTAATACATGACCTCGACAAAGAGTGCAGGAATGGATGAAACTTCATCACATGCAACTCGAGTTCCGTGCTTCTGCGTAATCATATAGAATGGTCACAACTCTATCGGTAAACGACTTTAAAAGTAAGCCTAGTCATAAAGTTACAAAATGCTTACATCAAGTAGAGCAAAAATGTGGTTAGAATAAATATTGGTTTTTATATGTATTTGCTTCAGATTATTATTTTTATCCTTGTTTCTCCTTAACTTCGTCTGAATTTAATGTCATTGTGACTCTCATACTTTTCAGCCACCATCGTTGAACTCTTATAAGTGTCTTTCAACCAACAGTCAAATATTTACAGAACCTTATGAAGAGAAAAACATTAAAAATATGTTTTTAGATGAAATTTGCTTGTGACTGTTGTTGAATGCAGATAATTAGTTTGATCCAAAAAGATCGAATTCTAGGGCATGAGGCACAAAAACTCCATATATTGCGTTCAAAATAGTTATAAAACAAAGAACTCATAAGTCTAGGGTTGAAAATATTATATAAATGTAAATAACAAAGATTCAACCCTGTGACTCCAAAAGTGCAAAGGGTCTGATAACTGGAATAATGATGTCAGGAGTAGTAACTAGTCCGATAAAAGCGTTCAAACCAACGGCTTAAGTAATAAGATAGAGAATAAGACCAAATCTTACTGACAATCAAGATATGTAAAACTTAGTTATACGTACGTTTTAAAGACAGCTATCAAAATAAACACGGCGTATAAAATCATGACTGACCAAAAATACTTAATTAAAACGGGATTTTCTGTACACAACAAATAGATCATTCATCAAACTCACAAATATTTATAAATCATTTAACCAAGTCCTTCACCAAGATTAAGTAAGCTTGGACAGTGAAAGCAATTTCAGATAACAGGTGACGATATAATAGATCTTTCAGTTCAAACCCTTTTTATTTAAATTTTTGATGTTTTGAATTATTTTGACAATTTGTTTACTCAGTAACGCACAAATTTGAAAACGTGTCAAGGTTTGGAATTAAAAAAACAACATAATATAATAATAGCATAGCTTTAATTTCGTCATCGTATTTTTTGTAAAGAATGAGTGATAATTTATTTTTATATTTTATTCGTCGTCATGACGAGCAAACGCAGATTTTTGAAATTGTTCATTTATTGAATTTCTCTTGTTAGCTCATTTATTGACCGATATCCCTTCATACGTAAGATTTCAGTTCATTACCCTTCACATGTTTTTACTGTTTTTGGGTGAAAAGATTTGTATGGATGAAAGATATATGGATATATCGTACAGTAGTGGAAGTTCTAACCATGACTATTGCATTTGAATAGCTTCACTTTATTTATTGAACTCTGCCAAAAACCATATACCATATCTTGGTACTTGGAAGCAATAATAAAGATACATTACTGGGTTTTTTCTGTGTTTACAGCTATTCACAATAATGTTTGGCCCCACATGTATATTAATTTTACATGTTAACCAACTCTATAAATGGAAAAAACGAATACAGCTTACTATGACACTAACATATACATTTATTGTTTGTCAGAGTCTCCATTTTGATCTAATCCCAATGTGCTTTGTTCAAGGATTATCTGTGAGCCACGAAATCAGTTCATGGACTCAAATAAAAGCCATATTAAGAGCACCTTCAATCACTAAACCACTACCCATTACAGTACAAGCATCTAAGAGATAACCTTCTAATTGCTTACAGTATCTTTAACACTCCTGGGCATCCCCTTAAACACCTACTTCAGTTTAGCTCCGACACAAATCGACGAGGTAACTCCCAGAAACTGGAAACACAACGCAGCAGTACGGACTGCGTGCACAACTTTTACTCCTTAAGAGTTATCAAACTCTGGAACTCCCTGCCAGCTGAGCTATTCTAAGTGACTTTCCACGAATCCTTTAATACGAAACGACCCATTCTTAAAGACTAAGGATAATTTCTTACTATGATTTACCAGTTTCTTTTTCCTCTATTATCATTAATATACCTGGGTTCCTGCCTGGAGGCTTTGGTGATCCACTGCCACGGCTAGACTATAATTTTTGGACGAAATAATCAGATTTGCGGTAACAATTCTTGGATTTCGGCGCGAAATCCTCTATCCATTTGGCTAAATAACGTCTTGACATTTTAGATTATGTCAGTTTGTGATGAAACCACTAAATCTAGTCCTTATCCATCAACTGTAAATCACAATCCTCATCCTTCACTTTGGTTTGAAACCCTCATTTAGTTTAGTCAGTAGGTGGACATTCCCAAGGACGCTTTAGCGTCGCCCAATGGTCTTCCATAAATCTTAGTCTCACCGAAACGCTCAGAAAAATGCTGGGAAAAGACTAACTCAGACTCTTAATCATCTGTCTTGAACATGAACATCTGCAACTGTAAAACATGGACATGAAAATTGTACATTCATAAATACCATTTTATGATTAGAAACTTTTGGGCTTCCGATTTCTTTCAGCATGTATATTCTTCAAAACAGTAAGCGACTTATGGCTTTCACAATTTATTGTTTTATTCTTTTCAACTTTTGGTTTTTTTATATACATAACAAGTCGGTTTACCTTTTCCTCATTAAATTTTTAGACATATATTTTTTCATGTTTTCCCTAACCTTCTGTTTTTCTTCTCTCAATTTTGCTTATATTTTCCTGCTGAGTCTGAGTTTGTAACCCTTGTGAGATGAGATCATATTTTTTGACTATGCTTATAGCAGTTTGAGTTTGGTAAAGGCAGAGTGTTGGAAAAGGGAATTTTTCAGCTGATTTGGTTTTATTTTGAGTGTGTTGACAGATGACGCTTAAAATACGCATCGAAGTGGATAGTTCTATTTGTTAACGGTTCTATAAGAGTTGATAATCAGCTGACAAGTAACTAGTTGTGGGTTTATTAGCTCTTTTGGCTTCGTACATTTTTCGTCCCGGAAGACATAAGAAATAATTACATGATCTTACAATGACGATCACGTCACCCCTAAAACTCCTATACAACAAGTTGTATTAAACAAAGAAATGCTTGGGTTAACCAATTTGTTGAATAATGCGAAATTACAGAGTGCTTTGGTAAAATATGAAAACCGTAAATTAAATACATTTTTCGTACATCTTTCTTCACTTGTATTTTATACGCTCAATGATTCCTTCAACTCTTTTCATTACAGTTGCTTCCTTTTAGACATTCATGTTCTCTTCAATTTAATTCTCTGCTCTCAGGTATTCCACTTCTGATTGACGTTACATACTGCCAACATTTTCTAATATAAGTAGTATACACCGCGAAGGGAGTAGATTGAATTTATACAGTCACCCATGGGACCGTAGCTTAAACGCTCCAAAAATCATCTTAGGTGCAATTCATTAAAATTCTTCTTCTATGTCATCCTTTTATTACTTTTACTTTATTGCACATTAAGTGCACAACATGAAAAATCCTTATTACCACCTTCATCGGAGTTCCTTCAACTTGAAGGCCAGACATTTACTTCTGCAAATGCTATTTTAAAACTGTGACTGATTAAATAATTATTATTATTACTATTATTGTAATCCAGTTATTTACACTCATCTATGTCAATTGTTTTCACACTATCTCAATGTAAAAATTCTATCACATTTTTGGTTTGTAAGCAGCTGACGAGAAACCTCAAAATATTATGAAATAATACTATTCTGCACCAGTATTTGTTCTTGCCTTATTTAAGTTCATAAAGGGATCCAGTTGCATGAAATTTAGATTGTTTATTTACGATTCTAATAACTTTTAAATCCGTCTTTCTCAGTCAAGACATGTTCATCGAGATCGAAAATTCAATCATGAATCACACTTTACGTATATAATGTCAGCGTGCTCTCAGTTTATATAGAGGCGTGGTTTGAATTTCTCATGCAGTTTTTAACTAAACTTACCGTTAATTGAATGTCAGAAAACAGAAAGAATAGGTGGTCATTCATCTTTAAAGAGTTAGGTACTCAGAATATATATATTATTCTAAAGTATTTTACATTATCAGTGAGTCAATTATTAGTGTAGCCTTTAAATATAAAATCACTTTCTAATCTATATCACATTCCATTAGCTTCCATTCAGAACCAAAAATCCTAGGGCTTGAGAGATTATAATTTGTATCGTAAAGGATATAGACTTGTTCCCGATTCATCGACTTCTGAAAAACTTATCTCCTTTCTATAACAATAATATTATTCATTTCCATATTTCTTTTCTACTTTTGTTTTATGTCTGCTCCACATTCTTCTCCATTTTTTACTGTACGTACTTGCTCAACTTGGATCTCTTGGTATAAATAGTCGGACAAGAAAATGCTGAAAATTCCAAGTTTTCATGGGTAGCCACGAAAATACTGTCCTAAGATTGTATGGTGTTTTAGTGAATAAAGTTTTAAAACTGATGTCGAATAAGTGCTAAAACGCAAAAGTATGACTAAAATATTAAAAAAATTCCAAATATATTTAAATGCAATGTTTGAATCTTACTTTTTGTAAAATTTGAAGCTGTTAGTCGAAAAATCATTCATTTTTGAAACACTCATATAGACAATATAATTTAGAATTATAATGACTACATAACCTGTCTTTATTTTTTACAGCTTATCTTCACAATCATCGTTATCAAATTTTGGACTTATTCAGTTATAACTTCAGAATAAACATTCATTATGAAACGAAATAGTGATGTGTCGACAGAATTAAACCTAGAGAATTTAAAAGAATTAGCATCAACTTATGCGGCTTGCTTACAAAACAAACCGACACCGGCATCAAGTTTTATAAGTAAAATGATGAGAATGGAATATGAATTAGATAAAAAGTTAGCTTTCTATGCCTATCTGTCAATTATTTTGTGATTAACAGTCTTGTTTTTTTTATTGCTTTATACCGCAAACTCGAAAATAGCATGAATAATTATTTTTAGACTACGTACCACTATCTACCAATAATAAACAGAAAAAACGAAGTTTGAAATGAGTTTGTTAGTTTTATATTCATTACACATTGTAAGACGCAGAAAAAGCTACAGGCACTGCCAATCAGTCTTATCTGGTAGCTGTAGCTGATACTTATCATCAATGACTGTTATTACAGTTACCCTTTAGTTTTTTAATAATGAGGAGTTTAATAACGTTAGGGAATTCCGTAAAAGCGTTTTCTCATATTTTTAAATACTATCTAAGCGTATTTTGGAGTTGGACTTTTCTTTAATTATTTCATCCGCATCAAAAATTTCCTTTTTGGATAAAAAGAACTTTCATCATTCTAATCAATCATAACTCTGTATTTTTTATTATCTCCCATCCTTCCAGCCCATTCTATCTTGTACCTGAACTAGTTGTAAGCTTTATCATAATGAGAAAGTTATTCAAGAGCAATGTACGAAGTATATTAACGTCTGTCAAATACTAAAGGTGGCTCATCGACATGGGTGTGAGAAGAGAGAAAAATAAATAGAAAGTGGAGACAAGCAAATCACTTAAAGTCAAAGTAATGTGGAGTTTTTGAGTTTATTTCAAAATAGATGGACTTGTGAAATGCAAAATAGGATCTTTATATTTAAGCACTCAGTAAATAGTATAAGCTTCCATCTGTGAATAAAATCCTGGTCTACCGTTCAAATTAAGTGTTTATATTTTATATTTCAATCTAGATATAAATAGTGTGCCTTTCTTGTTTGACATACTTATCTACTTGTTTAAGCCTGTTAGCCCTCTTGCTTCTGTAATGGTCAGGTGTCCTACGTATTTCTACTCATTAACTTTAATGCTCTTGTTCGTTTGTTTTCTTTCTCCGAAATATTCGGCCTGTCCCTTGGGTATCAACAGGCGGTAATGTTAAACTTCATCAGCTTTATTTGTTCTTACGTCTTTGATTATTCTTCCGGTTTTTTTACACATGCATATTTAATCGATTTACTTTGCCTTAATGTGATCCGGTAAAACTTATGAAGCTTTTTTCATGCGATTGTGACTCAGAATCCTGTTATTCATAGCACTTTTGTTGAAAGCATTTTGATTTATCAGACTCTTGTAGTTGTCATCTCTTTCTCTCAGGCCATGTTGCCTCATGATACGTTCATACTTAGGGCTATCAATCCAAAATTTGGCACTTAGGTCGCTCATCAGAATCGTCTGACTTTTTCCTAGGCAAATCTGTAGGATGAACTGCAGCTTTTCATAAAATTTGTTATTCTCGTTTACACTACCATCATTGTTGGGGGCTTAGCCGTGACAGACATCCACTTGGATTCTCCTCTACTTCGTTTTGGAGGATGGCCGAATGACCACCAAGGTGTGAAGCTGTCAACCTATAGTGTAGTTTTATGCTGCGCAAGATACCATTGGTGGGGCTCCTTGTTTGTGTGAGGGTAGCAATTTCTGCCTCGTAAACAGAAAATGGCAACAGCTCTCCTCAAGTCAATTTTTGTTGTCCAAATTGCATTAAATTAGTTTCCCAAGCAAGGGCACGATGTGTACTTCCGTTTCCGTCACTATTTGAATTACCTTTCCGGTCTCCCGCATCTTCTGGATATTTCATGTACCTATATTAGTTGTTCCTTTAGTTGTCAAAATGGCATCGGCTCCATGGATCCCAAAGATTTTCCGCTTTCGTCATTGGCTGTTATAAATCTTCCATGTGAAGACATTTGAACTTTCAGGGGAAGTTTAAATGATTTTTTCTGGTTGGCGTGTTTTTATGGGGTTATCTTTTTACGAGGTGGAGTTACTGATCCTATGCTCGGACCGTTCAGTGGCAGCAACCTCAAATGGGTTCCAAGGAGTGTTTTTTGTTTGGCTATGGAAGATTCTTTAAAATGAATAACGTTCCTTTTTTATTAATATTCTACTTGTGTTATAGGGATGACAGATTATTCGCAATATATTTAAAACTTTGTGGTAATAACCATCATTTGGATGCCATTCAATTGACTAGTGTTGATCTTCCACCATTGTGTATGGCTTTATCCCTTAAACCATGTATTACAATGTTGGATTTACGCTACAATTTTATTAAAGATGAAGGAGTTGAGATATTATGTGAATTCTTAAATGTAAGTTATAAGTTTGTTATTAAATACAGATATTTCAACTATTAATTATTAGCTTTTGGATTCTTTTGTTGCTGATTATCAACACTTGTTTATTCTACATTGAATACTAACAAAGGGAATAAAGTACAAACCGTTACAAATAATAAATAAGATAATGCCCATTGAAAAAAAGTCTACGGTTATCTTAATAGAAGGTTAATGAATAGTATCCCAGTTTTCCAATACACTAGGTTTCAACTGCTATGTCAACATTAACACTACGATGGAGGTATATATGCATTTGATGAGTCCCAAATATTGAACTAAATGAGTGTATTAGATTGCACTGCTAGATACCATTCAAAACATATGATATATATATATATATACGACTTTAATTGAAATTGTAAAGTTGAAATTATTAACAAATATTGTCCAAGGTTTTCATATTAGTTTGATCAGTATATTTTACTTGAATAGTTTTAATTATAATAATAGATTGAAATCTTAATAAATTTGCCCTTTTGTTAAAAAATATTGTACTTTTATTCATCAGCCTGGTTTTATTTCAGCATTCAATTATATATGTTCATTGAAATAATTGAAGTCAAGAAATACATTTCTACATTCTTATTGTTTTTAAAAGGTAGATAATCTGTTAGAAGAATTAAATCTAATGTGTAATGATATCACAGAGAAAGGTGCACAGTTTCTTGCTAATTCTTTAAAGGTAATGTACAATATAATATACCTTTTTTAATCTCTTATATGAGGTAATCATGTTTTTATTCCCAACGAAATAATTGTTTATTTGTTTTCCAATTAAAAAATAACAAACATTTCAAGATGTAAAAGAAGCTTTTATAATTACTACTGAAAAAACTTCCCAAAACTAGTTCCTATCAATTAATGATACTGTTTAGGGAATCAGAGCAATCGATACCAATTTCGTTCTGTTTCATTATCATTTCACTGTTATTATTTAAATTAGTATAAAAAAGGTTATGAGTTTTATTAAAATAAATCTATACTGTTGGCTCCTTATTTGAACCCACTATGGTAAATACAAAATTCTGAAAGTTAGCTTTGTTAACATTCATTTATATTTATCATTATTGTAACTATATATATATATATATATATATATATATATATATATATATATATATATACTTCGTCTTTCAAAGTGTAAAGAACGTTGTTGATTTTTTTAACTATTAGAATAACAGAAATTTGGTTATCTTAAAAATGACTGGAAACCCAATTGGCTCTAAAGGAGGTCTATACTTTGCTCAAGCGCTACAAATAAACGATACACTTGAATTCATAGATCTTGGAGAATGTGATCAGGTTAGTCGAGTGAGAAATATATACATATATAAGTATTTAAAAAAGCCTCAAAATCTACAATGGCATCTTATAGTAAAAAAATAGTTTTGTAGGTAAAGATAAATAAGTAGTATACAAAGGAGCCTGCAGGGTTTTGTTTCACATAAAAGTGGAACAGAATTCAAGGCATATTCTATGGAAAAATGTAGATGTAAGCAAGCAAAATTTTACGATCGGAATGAAATCTTTTCTGATTTTTCTTGTAGTTTTGACTTAGATTTTAATACTTTAACGAAAAGTCTTCTTATACTACCCTATCTTATTATATTCGCTAGTTTGGTATAATATCTGTGTAATTAAAGTATGAAGATATACTTAAAATCTACCACATGATAACAGATTATCAATGTTTTTACTCTCACTACAAAGGTATGTATATAGGTATAGAGAAGGAAGTTTTCAAAAGTGTATGTCTGTTCAATTTTGACGTTAGTTATTAGATTCACATGAACACACACAACTACCCAGTCTCCCTATTTTGGGCAAATTTGGGGGGTTTTGTGCAATTTCCTCAACATTTTCTATAGTGGCTTCCCTAAAATTTCCCCAAAATAAAGAGATTGGGTACAAAACTAGAATTTTATATTTTTCAGAATGACTGGCTCTTACGCGTTGTAATAAGCAATTTCACTTTCGGACATGTCTAAAAACAAACAGGCTTCCGTTGGATTATCTATTAAAAACTAGACCTATTTGTTTCATAATTTATAAAAATATTTATTTTAAATTTATCACCAAAACTTTTGTTATGGTTGCTAAATATCTGAATACTAAAAACAAATCCTTTTTTCGTTTTTTGTTACATAGTGAATTTTTATCATTTCTGTGTCTTTTTCATTCATCTTTTTTCTAAAGGATATAACTAGTTGTATTGCATTCGCTACTGTATTGAAAAGTAATAAGTCAATTATTGGGATTAATCTAAATCGACAGATATCATGGACGTTGCAAGAAGAATCAACTGTACATTTCGCTGATATGCTATGTGTAAGATCATTTATGATGGACTATTTTTCAATGATATTATAAGTTTCATGAACTAATATACCCTATAACTGCTTAGACATAATGTGTTCACATCATCGAAGTAACATCAAAGTAAAGTTTCGAAGGCCGTTGACATAGAGAACTGATTTTAGCTAGAGAATCACTAAGTAGATGTTTTCTAGTTTTAAGTTGCTCAGAAGTGCATACATTTTCATGTCGTACGTGATCAAGCTGAATGGCTTCAAATCTAACATTCTATACATTCTATATTTATTAAAAAATCCTTACGCAAATCAGACACTAAGGAAATCTTGCTATAGTACATAATTCCCCAGTGTCTAAACATTAACATGCTGAATTAGACATAATAATACTCAAATTACTCTAAAACGTCTATTTCCTTGCAGACAGAGATTATTTTGATTGTCCTTAATGGTTTCTTTTCCTGTCTCAACCATGGTGTATATCACAGTTCAAGATATATAGACAAAAAACGTTTTCAACTAAGCTTTGTAATTACTACTGATTAGTAATTTATGACATTTGCAGTATAAAAAAAGAAAACTTGTCATTTGATCTAGACTTTGTTCTTTAGTTTACATCTAAGTTTACATTATTCAAACACTGATGAGAATTTTTATTTCATAATGAGTAATAGGTTCATTCAATCTGTAATCAATAAAAGTCATGAATTTACACAGTCTGGAATTATGTCAGTAAGTGGTAAATTTTAGTATTTAAGTAACTTTTGAATAGACTAATCATTTTCATCAAACTGTTTTCATGCTACCTTACACTTTAATTTCTTTTGTTCAAATGTTCATTGTTAGAGTTTTGTTCTTATCTGATTCTCATTTGCTGACTTTTAATAGATTAATAAAACTTTAAAAGAATTACACTTAGCGAAATGTGATATGCGTGATTTTGGAGCAGCACGTTTAGCTGAAGCGATGGAACGTAATGATACATTAGAATTATTAGATATAAGCGCGTAAGTAAATCATTCTATCTTAGTGTTAACTAAGAACAAATTATCTCATTTTAACTACAGTTGTTAGTATTTCACTCAATAACCACAAATGACTGTCATAATCAAAAATTATTTAACATTCGTACACACTCACGTTTAAAATGGAGACAGCTTAATGTTAAAAGTAATGGGTAGTCGACAAAAGGACTATAAATAATATGAATATACTCTTGCTAAGAAGAGGCAAATAGAAAGAAATATAGAGAAAGCTTCTTTAGCCAGTTAATTTATATAACTTTTGTTTCATCAAATTTTCTATGTAGTTTTGATTATAAGCTCTCTTTAAATTCAATAATTGTTGTGAAATATCTTAGCCTCTTTGAATCTATTAATTTTCTACTCGGTTTTGAGTCGAAAGTGTCACTTTTAGATACCGGTTAATATCTATAGATTGTGGCGGTTTGATATTCTACGTAGATTATCATATGAGTTATGGTTTTAAATAATAAGGATACTTGTGAATAACCATCTGACTTGTGATGATCTAATTGGAAATTTGAGAACGTGTGAATATATGTAGCTTTCCATTTATGATAAGGAAAAAAAACAGTGATATTTACAAGAGGGGTTTGACTATTTTGAGAAACGTATTCATGCGTACAATACTACTGATGATATACTATTTACGTTACCTTGAGAACGATACTAAATTGGCGTATTAAATAGAATTTCGACAGCTGAGAACAGAAAATGTCGAAAGCAAGCGAGATTTATAGATTTCCAATTGTAATAGGATTTGGCGTGAAAAGGTGATGATTGAAATAATAATACGAAGATCCATTTTTAGGCAAACCCAGTACTTTTAGAGAAAGTTATCTGTCAAAAAATACTTCAGGTTGTCTTCTTCTGTCTGCAAATTTTGCAAAGTAAATCAGGAATAAGTCTGATTATATTAATTTTTCACTGAAACAAACAGTTAAACTATTCATTCGTGATAATAAATCCAACACTTAATAATATTTAGAATCTGATATGGGAAATACTAAAAGTTAATGATTTCAAGATACTAAAGTTTATTTGTCTAATACAATGTTTGACCCATGCTTTTATTTGCAAACAAACCACTCATTCATAAGTTCACGAAAAACTAACGAAGCTTTGACTTATTTCGAGGAATCTTTTTTCTTTTAGTTCAATAAAAAAATGTATAGCCAGCTAAGTGCTTGAGTCCATCTGTTTTAATCTATGTCACTATATGGAATACTATAATCAATGTGGCATAGTTACGATAACAGTTAGGGGATATGTTTTTATTTAACTTGAAAGCTTTTAATAACATTTTTTTCTACTATAGTAAGTTAATGTTCATGCTGAGACCCTACTACATAAATGATAAAATTCGGCATCATAACGTCCCTTATTTAAAAACTGACTCACAGGAGACATATCTACTAAGTTCACCAAATATCCTTTTATTTTGTAAAGTCGTCTTCTAACTTACTGAACCATTGTAATAACCCTATGTTGGTTCACGAACCTTTCTCTGTAGATAAATAGACGCTTTCAGTAATAACTATATGTTAAATTCACTTTTGTATTGGTTGTTTGAATTTTCCCATTGACGTTTAGGATTGCAATTGATCAGTCTATTATAGGCATATGTGCGTAACGCGATGGTGTTTGAAGCGGACGGTACTGGGTTCGAGTCCCGGAGTGGACATCAACTCTGAGATGCAGGCATATCTAGCTGAAGAGTCCGAAATAGGACGAAACGTGCGTCCTGGATTCCACTTCTAGTCACTATCCATCTCTAACCATATTTTTATTTCAGAAATAATATTGGTCTTTAATCTTTTTCATAGCAACCGTATTTCACGTGATGGAGCCATTTTATTATCCAGAGTAATCAGTATGAATTGCCCATTGGTCGTTTTGGATCTGGCATTCAATCGAGTTCAATGTAAAGGAGCTATGGCTTTGGCAGATGCATTGGTTTATAATACACATTTAAAAGTGTAAGCATTATTATTATTATTATTATTATTATTATTATTATTAGCTTTATTCAATATTATATTTTTGGTACAATATAGAATTCTCAGCATAAAGCATTTCAACAAGTTTCCGTTTCTTTCTTCTTTGTCGGTCCTGGTGATAAATATTGAGTGATCGCCAGTTAGATGTTAGCAATTCAGTAAATGAACATCTGAATAATGTGCATTCTTTTCCCTGTATATTGCCAGCAACCACATTGTCTCTTATTGAGTTTTTCGTAACTTTAACAACGAAAGGTTGTACGCTTTTCAGAAACGCAGCAGAATAGGTTATGCGATTAATAAACATAATGATATATTAAAACAAAAATAGATAACTTGTTGAAATATCTAGATGGTAGGAACAGGTAGTCCAGATGCTCAAGCAGGCCGCCCTTTATTGCGATGAATTATAGAATTCATTATTTGAAAAGTATTCAATAATTATTCATGTGGGAAGAGAGACGAGGCTAGTCTCATTTTTAGAAAAATTGTTATCATCATACTGTATTCTGTTGCACTGACTATACATTTTACATGTACTATTCATTTGAATTATTTATACAATTTGAACCGAATTCATGTTTGGGTTATTTCATGTAATAAGGCTGTGTAGAAAGAATTCAAATAACTATTCTCATCTATTAATCATCAGAAGTGAGAAAGTATGTTTTTTTAAAAGTGGTTTATTTCACCAATTTAAAGAAAATTACACAAATCCAATACACATTTAGATAATGGGAATCAGAGCTAACTTTATGTTTCAACATTTCCAATGATAATATGTCATTTCTTTCTCATCGTAATGGTCTGTAGCGATGAGAAATAAATATTTAGTTCCTTCTTTTTAACATAAATATTGCTATTCATTACTTGAAATATACGGGTTACGACAGAAATGAGATTTTTCATCTAATCCACTTAATAACTTGATTCATATAAATCTTTCTACAATTATGCTCAACTACATAAAATTGATTTCCCATACAAATGTAAATAAAGCGAAAACAAAACGGTTTACTGTATATAATACCTTCTGTGGATTTTGTCTCATTCACCTTAACTAATGTTAATTTGAAGTTCTTTAAATAAATATTGGCATATTTAGAAATTAAGGATCATTTACTCATCATGGAATATTAAGTCGCCAAAAAAGCTTGTTTTTGTGAGAGCTAGGAATGACAGTTCTGCAGAGGTTTACGTGACAAAGAACGTACATGAGTTAAGTTAATTGGATCGTAATATTTAGTGACGGGAATTTGAAAGGAGTAATCACTGATTCCTTCTCAAGATCAAGTTTAAGTCGTATAGTTACTATGGTCTCTAATATTCTCCGAAGAGCAAATGTTTGTTATTGATCCTAAATACCTTTGTTACACCTTGCCTGCGTCTCCTGTTCTGTTAGTGATACGCAAACGAATTATTGTTACTATTTAGATATGTGAGATATAACTAGTTCACTATGTCCAATAAACTGTGTACATATTCTCATCACTATCTTTTAAATTTACCTGCTTTGATATTTATATGTACTTTAGAGTATATTTGAGAGATACATATGATGTGTAATTATCCATATTTCCTTATTTTGCTAGCCTCCACAATTTATTAAGAGACACTAAACTAGTGTGGTAGATATACTAATGAATGTAGCTTTTTAGTCTCTAAAAGGAAACAAGAATAAACAGTTTTGTTAACTTAAAACGTTTAACTACTTATTAGTAGACTATACACCTCTGGCCTAATTTCTGTCAAACCATAAGTTTTAATTCTGGCAAATCTTCAGTAGCACTAGATTAAATAAAATATTTGAATACCCTTTTCACTGTGGTAATGTTTGCATCAATATATGCTTATTAGCGAACTAGTGAGGTCATAATATAAGTAGAGATTGATGGTAGCTAGCGGTGGGATCCAGGACGTGCATTTTGTCCTATTCGCGGCGCGTTAGCTGGATGTTTTGGATACCAGTGCGGATGTTCACTCCGGCAACTAAATAAGTATTTTTCGCCTTAAATGCAGAACAAGTTATTCATTGAGTAACTGAGTTTATTGTCTTGTGTGGTGGTGATAATTGTTATTGTTTATTTGTAAGTGTTTAAATTTCTTTATTACTGATGTTAAGGAAAGAGTTCTGAAGAAAGATACTTATCCTAGTCCTGGAGTAAAAATCAGCGACAGAATCCAGGTAAACCCAGCTGAAGAGTCTCAAGTGGGAAAAGGCTCGAGTCATGGTTTCCAATGCTAGCCACTAACTATCTTTTTTAAAAACGATAGTCACTTGATGGTAATATCGAGACAGTACGCATGTGTGCCGAAAGAGACTGATCAATTTTAGTCCTAAATATCAACGGGAAGATTCAGACAGCCAATATATATATATATATATATATATATATATATATATATATATATATATATATATATATATATATATATATATATATATATATATATATATATATATATAATGAACTAGGTTTCTAACGTTATTTCATAAATTGTGTCTTGTATCTCCATTTCACATTTATGTCATGTAAAGAACAATTACATCTCTATAGCAGAATTACATTTTAGTTATTAAGTCTACATTTATGTAGTATTCTAACTACTTTTGCTAAATTACAGGCATTTCCTAATTAATATGGTCTATTTCTCGGAAGGTAATAGATCATAAAGACATGATGAGAGGTTCAAAGTGGTAATTCATTCATTCCATTCATCACCGTACACATCTGGAAGATATAAGCTGGGTCCATTTTTCTGTATGTTTTCGGTTTTGCAAATATAATATCATTATACTACTCTGCATACATTAATAGTGTGGCCCAAAGCTCAATACTGAAACATTCAATTTGTTCTTGAGTTGTATTAATGTTTGATAGTTATAATCACGTTATTTTATCCAAATGATAACAGTATTTTGTTGTATTATTCGAAATTGCATTCAGAAACGCATACCAATTGTAAATACGCAAATCATAGGTGGTAATATAACGAACTTGGAACTTTTCTTAGAATTATTCAGTAGATTAAATTAAATTTTCTCATTGAAAAATCATCTTTGCGAAATCTTTATTCCGTTTTCTTAACTGTCAGTCTTGCAGTACAGTTTTGTGAGTTGAAAGGGCCTGGACTTTGTGCATTGGCTGAATCGTTGATTACAAATCTTACTTTGGAGTGTATTTATATTTGGGGGAATGAACATGAAGAAGCAGCGTGTAAAGTAAGTCGTTTAATCAGTAAAATACAGATTAAAAATGCAGGAACTTAAAGAAATATACTTTTTTCTATAAGTTGTTATCACTGTTTGCAATTATAAATCCAAATTAATGCTCCAAAGGGACAAACAAGTGTAGAGCGAATACATCTTTTAAGATATTAGCATATGAATTTAGGATTGTCAATAAAATCAAGTAGAGTTGCCGATGATGAACTGTCCAGTTTGTAATGTTAAGCTGAATAAGTTGATATATCAGTTGAATATAATCAGAATAGAAATAGGTGAGATAGAGTGAAATAAACCAATTATGTGGTTACACATCAAATCAGATGTTTGATCGAAAACTAAGTAATGTATCAAACAGCAAGATGAAGTTAAAGATGCTTAAATTCTTCATGTGCTTACGAGAATTAATAATAAAGATAATTATTATTATACTTAATGAAAGATATATGAACAATGACGAAAGCAATATTTTCAGTGATCTAACTTAAATCGTTTTATAATTTTAATGAAATTAATCTATCTCCACAACTCTGTACTGGAAATTATCATACGCTCACTAGTGACTATCTTCGAGAAGAATTTTCCGTAGTTCTAGTGAGAAGCTGTGAGCAGTAGAGCTAATCCCTGTTGGATGCGAAGTGGTTACTTACTGAGGACAATAGAAGGTGGTTTCACAATATCATGGATTAATTAAAGACAGACGTTAACACCGTTAGATGCTGGCTCAGTGGTCTAGAGGTTGAGCGTTCACTCGTGAGACTCAAGATCCTGAGTCCGAGTCCCACGTGTGCGGTCGTGTATGCACACTACCGAGAATTCCTATACTATACTATAACGAAACGACCGTCCACTGCTTCCTGGTTTCCAAAGCTGGTCTGACATAGATCGGTTCATGATTTCTCTCAAAATAATATTTGAATAAAATAAATTAAACTTAAGGAAATTTAAAGAGGAAGATCATATGTAAATTAGTTAAATTAGAACGTCTTAGAAACATTATGAATACTGACGTAATGGGTCTGAAGTTGAGCACGGTTAGAAAAGAGGCTGAACGTATTTCCTTCGTACTCCAAGCTCCGGTCTTTTAACCAACATATCTATTGTTTTTTCTATTTGGAAAACTCTAACCCGATAAACTAATGGGAATGATTAATCTATGTTGATCTGATTAGCAGTTTGAATTAGATGAATGAGTATTGAGGTGTTGACCGTTTTGACTACATGTTCGCTTCATCATTTTGGAAAGTATTCACAGATACAGAAAAGGAAATTATACTCATAAATCATTCGAACAAGTTTAAATGTAATACAAGACGAACGTTCCTTGGTTTCGAATCCTGTTGTAGTTAATTTATTGACAACTTCTCAGTGTTTAAAAGTTGTTTAGAAAATTTTAGCATTATATCCGGTCGATTGTAATTTATATTTTATTTTTAAAATAATCAACTAGCATTACTTTTTTTGTGTTTTTCTTCTTCTTTTAATCTTCATTAGGCATTCGCTAATTTAATCTGCATAAATCGTTTACTAGAAAATTGCACTGATATAAGACCTTATATTGTTGATGGTAGAACTTATTTAGCTTACTTACCTCATGATTGTACTTATAGGCAATATCGATTTTCTGTACCTTGGTGGAAATTTCAAGCACCAACTGATCGATCGATTGCACTTTCTTAATGTCATTTCATTGAAATTATATATTTTTTAAATTGTTGTTGTATTACTTCACAATATTATTTTTATTATCATTTATTTTTTTCATTGCTTAATTGTTTCTTATTATTCTTAGAATTAATTAATGAATTAATGCGCCTTTGATAATGTTGAATTTTTCGCCTTTGCAATAAAGATTATTTTTAATATTATTATTCACATTTGTATTTTATTTCAATGTAATTTTGTTTAGATATTTTCACATTGAAGACGATTTTATTTATCTTCATTTATCTTATTTGCAATTACCATTTATCTATCTGTAGCATAAATTAGATTATACTACTGATATACTTAATATACATATATATACAAAATAACAATAGATGTATCGTTTTGTTTAAATTCTGTAGGCAGTTGAATTTAGTTAATTACATATACTGTTTACAGCTTTGTTTGAAGTACCAGTTGCAGTGATTATGCGTTAAAGGTTGGAAATATATGTAACTAATTCAGTATGACGCTGCTGATAGTATTGCGTTATTTGAATTGATTTGTTCATTAGTATAGTTTTTGTTTTCGTTCTGAATGAACAACAAAGCTTGCACCCTAGAAAATTTATTTTGATCAAGATTTCTGATTCATTTGTAAAGAGAAAAGTACATTTGACATCCATTAGAAACTTGTGAGAACATGGTTGTTTTGCATACTAACTGAGAAATTTTTAAGATTAAAATACTGTAGGTTGAGATAATAAGACTATAATACTTCATAACGTAAATAACCAACATTTTTCTACTTATCAATTAGATTCAAAAGTAATGTACAATTAATTTTCGAACAGTCGAAAGATATATATTATTTATAGCATAAATTGTATAATCTATCCTGCTTAAATATGATTACGAGTGCCTTCCTAATTGTTTGACCCACAATTTTTTAAGTGTTTTACATGTAGTTGCATCATCGGAAAATCTTGCAACATAACTGAGAAAGTATAATAATCCTTCTATACTGCCCATTCCAAGTTCATACGTTTTAGTTGTTATGATGTTTGGTGGTCAGAAAAGACTAGTGGGGAAGTATTGAATAGTAATTCAGACCTGGTTCTTACCTGTCAACAAGTATTTACCATCTCGAAAGAAATGATCCTGTGGAATTTAAAACTATCTTATCAAACTGAAATAGTTGCAAATAAATGAAAGTATCCATCTAATTTAACATGTTACATTCTTGAGAACATTTTTACTTGACAGCTATAATAAACTTTAAACTTTTTATAAAGGGAAATACATTTTCGAAAACTCCAGTTTTATTATACAACCATAAGTCATTAAAACTTCACCGCCAAATAATTAACAAATTGAGAACTGACTACCATCGCACTCACTTAACTATGATATATATATATCATAATAATAACTTATATGTTCAAAAACTTATGGTCATTTTCATATTGTTTAGTTTATATATAACATAGATCGCAGATAAATATGATAGTGACAAGAAATTAAATTTCACTAACAAAAATACAAACTTGTCTTTCATTGAGATAACCGACCCATTTAAATAAGATAGCTGTCAATAAACTCGGAACGTACAGTCCATTTTGTCCTACTGTAACAATCTTCATCAGTACACATCCATAAATCCACAACAAGAAATCGAACCCAGGATAGTGCATCTGGTTCACGAACGCTTGGCCTCTAGATTACTGAACCGGAATAAAATGGAAAGTTGTCGCCAAATATAATGGATCGATATGAGTTAAACTTGCATAATTTTGGATGCTGGACCAATGGTCTAGTGGTTAAGTGTTCGTTTGCGAGACCAGAGGTTTCGGATTTGAAATGAGGTTGCACTGTCAATCTCCTAAACTTCATACTGAAATAAATAAATCTTCTGGATTAGCATCAGTGTTGTATCTAACTGATACAATGTAGACTAAATAAACAATTAAATATTCTGTCCCGTATGACAGAACAATAAGACTGATAATCTAGCATGTAAATCTTTATCATTCGTATGAATAGAACGACATACGTTTTGGCTGATGATCTATCATGATTGATGTAGTCGAAAATCATCGTAATATCGAGTGAACTAACAATTTACTTTTTGGCATAGAATGTTTCCTTGTTCTACTATCAGATATTAGTAGGAAACTGTCATCCGCACATTTGATAAAATTATCAGTCTTTTGCTAGGTGATATATTTAGTGACGTCATGTCCGACGTCAAAGGATAAATAAGTTCCGTTGAAGTACTGAAATACTGAAAAAATATTCAAAATGACTTATCAAACAGTGTAGGGGCTGGTAATGTTTCAAACCCACATAGGTTATTCTAACCTCGGAACAAACCAATTTATCCATTCTTCTCAAGATACATTCGGACCTTGTCAATTATTCGCTCATCAACCTTGACTGGTTTTATGTAAGCGTATGTGTGTGCATTTCTTAGCCTACTCATCACATGTTTGTAACTGATTTTTGTCTGACTATAAATATCGATTCACGCTCGGTTAAATTGAGTTGGCTCACTAGCCTTCTCCATTGCGCGTCATTTCGCTTCACTTTCTTCGCATCGTTTCTCCGATTGTCCGTCCAGATCAATAAGTGTACACAATATACATATTCAAAATTCCATTCTCGCATTCGACTTATTTAATTTCGTTATTCACCAATGCAATTTAAGTCCATGATTATATACGAGGATTGGCGACATGTATATATCGATAACAAGCAGCAAACGATGTACGTGAAGTCCGATCCACGGCTCACAAAAACAGTATGGCCTTGATAAACTGTCGTTACTTACAATTTGTACGTTTTGAGAAATCACTTTGACAAGAATCAGTATTAATTCACACCGTTCAACAATGTTCATACATTAGTTGATAAGATACAGAGGAGTATATGTCAGAATATTATGACATTTCTGTATAGCAATCAGTTTAGTTTAAAAAGAAACTATTCACAGGTTTTTCATCTGTTGGTATTAGTTAAAATGGGTTTCTTCCATCCAATTGGAGTACAATATCTGAACAAAATGATATGGAATGAAGGTTTTGATTAGTTTCATTTATAGGATCACTGATAATTTGGTGGACATTCACGTACATTACACCCTTATCATCAAATCTCTACCCGAATAGTCTAATGGCCAATACGTTCTAATTTATACGTAAACAGGCCAATCTGTTCATTTACTCATTAATCGTTACATATAAGTTAATCAGTCAAGACAATCAAAGGCCACATGATACATCTATCTATACTCCAGATGATTTGTAATGAATCACATCAAATTAGTGAATCCATGTGACGGCAAATCAAAGTTGGAAATCATGAAATTGATTAATGATTACTCTTTAAAACTAATTTTTGGATGAAGACACACAAATAATAAAAGCCTTCATACATTTTCATATTTAACGATACACAATCCACATAGTAACAAGTCGACCACATATAATTAATCATCAAAACATAATCGTTCAACATAACTGTACACTTTAATGTCATTTATATTCTAAACGAAATGGATAAAATTTTGGCTATACAACGATGGTCATGTCAAGTGATTTTATAATATGATTAATGACCATTATGATGAATTTTCATTTTCTTAATGGATTCCATAGTCATTTCATCAAAGTCAATTAGACATAATAAACAGATTATTTTAAGTTTCACCATAAATACCGATGACATTTCCTTTCAATAAATAATTGTATAAAACAAGTCGAATGGTAACAAAACGAAAATAATGCTGATTGATTGCCCAAAATTTGTGATATGGTGACTTTTGTTTTGACCAATTAATTTTGCCGATTGCTCTCATCAGTCTAAATGGACTCGAATTATAAATATGAAGATTTCAAATGAATGTATCAAGAACAAGACAAAGTACTCTCAACAAGAGTAATTTTTTTCTTAGTTTAATGAAAAATCCATAGTTGGTTGATAACATTTAAAGATTATTGGCACATGATATTTGGAAATTGGGTCTAATATAATTCGACATATAATTTTTCGTATAGAAATGACTAGCTGCGTGTTTATTTCCTCCTATGGGTTTTGTTCATTAGTTACATATATGACTGTTAAGTATGTTCATCTTTTGTAGAGTCGGTAATTTGATTTTCAGAATCTCCAGATTAGAAACAACGTGAACCGATAATTATTCCTAAATAATGTGGGAAATAAGAACAAGGGCTATAAGATGTTACAAAAACCATTTATAATAATAAGTGAACAAAATTTAACTTTCGGTTAGGAAATTAGTAAGAACAAGCAAAGGAACACAGTAGATATCTTACACAAAGCAAGAACAGTTAAAGTACGATAGGCCGAATAAACAGGATTTAATGTCATAATTGCCCAGATAATTAGTGAAATTTTTCTAATGACTAACCTTACAAGAAATCTAAGCTGAAATAGGAAGTACAGAGATTTAGAAACCAATTAGTCAATGTTGAGTTATTTTAAGCGTAAAATTGTTGTTAGCAAGATTTCAGACAGTTGTACTTGATCAAATAGAAGCTCTAGAATTAGGTTTTCCGTTAGTGTAAATAATCACAAATACGTATCAGTAACAACAAAGTAGTATTATTTCCTGAAGGCAAAAATAGTAAATACAGGTATACTGATTTTCAGTTAATCTATTTCGAGTAATCTGCATGAATATGTCACCTGGCTCGGCGGCCACACTATGAATATTACTGACATAATAAAATCTATGTTAAAATCTATAAAGATAATCATTTCGTTTGAATCGGTTCAACTCCACTAATAGTGTACGCATTTTCAGATTCCATATGCTCTTTTTTGGTTTAATAGTGATCTTTCAGTTATGAATTCGGCAGTATCCGTAACATTTGTACCTAAGAGTGAGCTGAGTCAAAAAACTCATAAATTGTAATTTAAGGACCATTTTATAAATCGGAACTTTATAGCATCCTGGATGTACATAAGTGTTAAATTAATTTGATATAAAGAGTGATATCATTCAAGGTGTAGTATCTTTTTGATAACTATAAACTTTATTCATCAAACAGTTTCGAACTAATTTTGCTAACTTACTGTCGTTCTGTAAACATTACTAAAATAAAATGGTGTTTCAGGATCCATTAAAAAATTTCTTATCATTTATGGGCAATAAATTCCAGACGGAAAAAAC